TCATCTCTCAAATATTGGAATGCTCTTTAAATAGATAATAAGCTATTTACTTCTGCATCGAACAACAACGATGCATCGAGACAGGATATGAGTTCAGTATGTACCTGAAGGGATGGAATCGGTGGCGACCTGTTCCCCTGAACCAAGGGGGACCTTCAGGATTCTTTTCGCACTCTTCCATAATTTTGAAGCACTTAGCAAGATAGGCACCTGGCTGATTTGCAACCTGAAAAATTTATAGATGGTTAACATGTAACGTCATGGAGAGGCGTTATTTTAAGCCCGACTGTGCAATAAATGAAGTAGGATAGCTACCTGTGCTGTTGCAGGAAGATTCTTCAATATTGAGCTCCATGGATTCTTTTGCAGCGTCCTCTTTGGCTTCTTTCACAAGATCAACGATGTTACGCTTCTGCTTGTTCTTAAGATAAAGCTCCACTTGAGGATATCTTTCACATATATCATCAAGGGTTTCTTGAAATTCTGACTAAGTGTTCCTGAGTTGTCCTTGTCAGCCTTTTTAATATTTCTGCTATATCTTCCTATATTTTTATAGGAATTTAGAAGAGAAAGAAGAAAGAAAAATAAATACCAGACGATCAAAAGTCATAAAGGGATGGCAGATTTTACAAATAGGTACCATGACTTTCCGCTGGTTAATAGTTGCATAGTCACCTAGTGCATAAATGTTATCAAATCCCTCAACTCGCACCCATTCATCAGTTGCTAGAGCACGTCTATTACCCTTCTCAAACATAATCCATAGTTAATTAGAAGAGCATAAACAAACCTGTACGAATGACATTGGAAACACAGTTAAAGGAGGATGGAAAGAATTCAACGAGATGAATTCCTAGGTCCAAAAGTAACTATTACCTGACAAATTTGCTTCATAAACTCCTTTATGAGAGGACGAGGCCGAATGCCAGTTGACCAGAGAACCATTCCATATGGTTCTGAAGTTGTTTTACCATTACCTCTGGCTTTTGTAGAAATTTCATTTTCATTTATTCCTGTGACCATTGACCCCAGTTTCACATCAATGCCCTCTCTTCCAAATTTATTTTCAGCAAAATTTGTGATTCTTTTGTCAAACCTGAAAATAAGAATGTATTACAAGCTTCAGAAAACTTCATATTGTGAAATAAATACCTCAACATACCTTGAATGTACGAATCCAGAAAGTTTTCTAAAATTACTTATAAATTGATTTCACGTTGATATGATAAAAAATACTAAAGCTTCTCAGTGATAACAGTTGTAGGGATAACAATGAAGATGGAAAAAACTAAGTACTGGTGCATATTTTCAAGGAGAATTGGACTGCACATTCTTACATGTTCAATATATGGTCTGTAGCCTCAAGTAGTGTTATTTTCGCTAAGTCTTTGACCTTTGGATATAGTCTGACCACATCCTCGTTGACGAAATCATGAAGTTCTGCGGCAAATTCTACATCTGTAGGGCCACCGCCAACAATCACAAAGTGAAGGATTTTCTTTCTTTCCTCGTCACATAAACTTGATAAGCTTGCCTTCTCAAAGGACTCAATAACATTCTTACGTATCTTCTGAGCATCGTCAATGTCCTGCAAAAAGAATCACATTGCTTAAAGTGAAGGAAAAGAAAACAAACAAAATGGTATAGGATGGAAATGGCTCCTACCGCCATATACCCCAATCCTAAATGCAGCATGGAAACAGTGGTTACCTTTAAGAAATGGCAATTTTCCATGACAACAGGAATATTAAATGTGTTGACCTGAGCTCCCACTGCTATAATAAGGTAGTCATAGTCTACTGCAAACTCTTCTTCCCCGTCTATAGTAGCGCGACAGTAAATTTTCTTATTTTGGGGATCTATATTGATAGATTCAGCTTCAGAGAAACTGATGTCAACATTTTTCTGCTCAAACATGAAAAAGGCAAACTTCATCAGCACCCATCAAGAACTGTTTTTTTTTTCTGAATTGCACAATATATATATATATATATATCTTCATAGGAAACCCACATTACCTTTCTGATGATGTTACGAATTGGCTCAGCAATGCTCCGAGCTTCTACTTTACCACAGGTAACACTTAACACAAAGAAATTACGAGGAGACGCAACTTCCACCTCGTAAGTAGGGTTTTTCAGACTCTTCAAGAAACTCATTCCTGCCCACCCAGTTCCGAGCAGCACCACTTTCTTTTTCTTGGGAACTACTTCAGATAAAGCATGACCACCATCAGATGCGGTTGCATCAGCATGAGCAATGTGGCCCCAACTGTCATGGTATGCGTTTGCCTCAGCATAAGCTATAAGGCTCCCACCACTGCACAAAAGTAACAGCCTTAGCTGAAGGGAAGTTTCAAATTTCAAAAATACAGTTGTTTTAAGAAGTTCCTTTTTTTTTAATTTATCCGATGAAGCAGCTGAGCTGCTACTGAAAACCATATGTTACGCTAAATGACCGCATCCGTATCAAAGAATAGCATCAATTATGAGAAGTAAAAACAGGAACCTTGCATAACAGCCACTCATGCAAAAGAAAAACATCAGCAATGTGCAGCAAAACAGCAACACAATTTCAGTTTAGGAGATCATATCAGAATTTGGCTCCCAATTTCCAGAGAAACTTCGATTTACAGAGTCTCTCATAATGTTATTTATGTATTAAACTCATTCTCAGAATTCCCTTTAGTTTACCAGATAGCGCTTCTAGTTATGCTAGACGCTGGTTGAAGCATCTATTACTTCGCTCCCACCATATTAGGTAAAGAAAGTAGCATCCAAGCAAGGTGAAGTAAAACAGAGTTCTTTTTTTAAATAATATAAGCATAATAATAAACTATTCACTCAAACTCCTAAATAATCTGGTGACTGCAAATTCGTTTTCACCGGCCATTGAACAGAGATGACACTTCACTTCCTATACTCAGACAGTTGCTCCGTTTTCAGAGTTTCGACAGAGCATTTCATATATCCAATGTCTTGCTACATTTTCAGCTCAAAATCTAATAAACATTCAATCACCAGATCGATGAGAAAAACTAACATAAATTCACAGAAAATCTACTAAAACAACAGCATGAAGCATGAACCACAAATCAATATTACTAAATCTGTAATGAGAACTAAAATAGAAACACAAACAAGCACTTCGCCAAGCTTTTAACTAGTTAACACAAAAGTAAATCAAGTATTTCTATAAACATAACAAAATATATAGAAAAAGAAGCGGCGAATGAAGAGAGCAGTTTACCTGATGGTAGAGACGACGATAATCTTAGAAAGCGAAGGATAATCATTAAAAGCTCTCGATAGTCTCCCGAATAAGTTGAAGCTTCTCATCGTTCGTCGTGCTTCCTTTGATCTCTTTCTTTCCACACGTTTAGCCTACAACCACCAAGAAATCTGGAGGAAAACCAGAGAGGAAAATAAAAACGTCTACTTTATAAAAATCAAAGAAAGCAGGTAGATGAGACATATATCAAGCTCAAAGAAATTTATAAATTGATTCATCCATAGATCATATCAATACTAGAATGTTAACTTCAAATTTTGGCCATTGCATTATTGATTTGTATAACTAAGACATATATTTCATGTTTTACTATGTTTTCATGATGTTTGATGGCATGATGATGTTAGAAGCTAAGCATGCAATCCATATTTTAATCCATGAAAAACATGATTAGTAAGTGACTAGATATGATATGCATATAGTGGTTACTAATTGCATTAAATAGTAAAGAGTAAATGTTATGCAACAAGCTTTCTTTTGATGTCTTATGTACACTGATGAATCCATGATGAAATTCGTACTTTATGTATGTTTGAATTGTCATTGTCTATACGTGGTTTAGGTAAAGTTTGATAAGTTATTAAATATGTTTAAGGAAGATTTTGAACATTTAAAACATCTAATATCGATATTGTACATGTGGTATCGATACCAAATTAATAGGATGTATTAATATTACCGATGATAGCACCTCGATAGCATAAGCAAATTTTAGATTACGTTGTGCCATTTTGATATAGATACTCGAATTTGGTATCAGTATCGTACCATCAATATTAGAATTCAAGTATAGGCATTGATATTAAACAAACGAATTTGTGACATAGTATACCAATCTAGTATCAATACTGTCCAAGAGTATCAAAACTACTTATATAATATGGTATCCATAGTTTAGTATCGATACTAATAGTCTTATGTAAGATAAATTCGTAGTTTAGTATCGATACTAATAGTCTTATGTAAGATAAATTCGTAGTTTAGTATCGATACTAATAGTCTTATGTAAGATAAATTATTTAAGGAATCCTTCAATTATGATCGATTTATATATTTAACCAATATGTTTGTAATGTTCTTATTCGAGTCCTTAATTATGCTTAAAGGTTGTGAATCTTCGATTTTTTTTTGTTTCTGAAATAGATATTGTTTCGATCAGTTAATGTGACATCATCGATCCAATTCTCGACTAGATTGGGGTAAAGATGTTATACTTTGTCTCCATTCTTTTTACTCATTTTCTTTATGTTTGTATTACAAATAAATACTTAGAATATACTCACTCTTTCATTTAAGTACCTAAATTATTTTTTTGGTCAAAATAAACACCTAAAGTTATTTTTGGTAAAAATAATTTTTACAAAAATCCAAAATAATGTCGTTTTGGTATATATTTAATATGTTTTTTTTAATAATTATTTAATTTATTTGTCATGTTATAACACCATTAACTATTTAATGACAAGTGATAAAAAATAATGTCAAAATTAATATTTTTAAACAAGAGTAAGATGCAAGTTGAATTTGATTATTCGACTAGCTTACCCTAAATTGAATGTATCAGTTCACTGTCCCTATTGATTCCCATTGCACTCTTCATATGATGGGACGAGCATATTTGTCATCTTGAAACTCATGGTCTTAACTTGGCTTACAATCGCAAAATGGAACTCTCTATACATGAAAAATAAATCATTCAAGTCTTTGTATATGCTGTCTGCTAATCAAACTCCAAGAACCAAAAAAAAAAATTGAAGAGAAATTTATAGGAAAACATACACAATAAATTACAGAGATCGGCGCAACAAATCGCCAGGGACGAGAAGAATAATAAACACGAGGCTGAACGTATATCTCGTTGCAGCTAGTCTGTGGCATTATATGGCAGCCCTCATAGCTCCTCTTGCAGCCTCATGCTTCATCTCGGCAGCTCTACCGCTCCCCCGGAAATACATGTATACTTGCTGCAAACCCAACAATAACCCAATGTTATTACGAATCCCGTTCCTGCACGTTTACGTGATCGTCACAACCAACAAGATCAGAAGCTGAACTAACCTGGATAACCCAGATGCTTACAATTGATTCAACGCAGAATAATCCAAACCCGATGAAGTAGAAGATCTATGCAAACAAATTAAAATTTCCATCAAAATGGTTAACAGAAATCAAGAGTAGAACAGTTAAACCTTTTCTGCTAACATGAACTGCAATGGCGAAGTTCGAGCCTTAAGTAGTAAACATCATTCATTCATTCTTTTTGCTCCCATCTATATTCCCACTAAGTATCTCAATGCGATAAATTTCTCAGGTTAAATGCTTCACTATTTTAAAAGGAAGTGCTTACCCCAACCAATATGTGGTCTCCGATAAGATCTACTGCCGGTAGGATCCCGCTGTATAGGGCAAAACAACATCCATAAGATTTATGAAGAAATGTACATTTTAGAAGATAAGTGCATCATGTCAACTCAAATGCATTGATGTAATGCAAATAAAGACAGATAGATGCAATTTATCAGTCCAAGTTAAGATAGAGAATGTGATAAGTAGAAAAATAGTTTAGGTACATACGTTAGTGATTTCCCTCTAAAAACTATAGGGGGAGCCACAGCAGCAAAGATGCAGAAGCCGATGTGAACCTATAAACAGGAAAGAAGTGATAAAAGGATCAGTACCCATCGAATCCTCGAACAAAAGCAACATATCTATCGAAGAAACACAAGGTATTACCAAATAAAAGAGGAAGAACCGGCCAAATGATAAAGCACTCTCTTTCCTGCATAAGGGATGATTATTGGTTAGCAAGTGCAAGGAACTTACACAGCCAAATTTAAGAAAATGACAATGGAAGTTGGCATTAGAGGCAACCCAACGTTTAGTATGCAAAACTGAATTGCAATATTAAGGAACAGAGTGGAGTATGTTGAGCACCTAAAAGCACGATACAGTGGGCGATACCACAAAACATAGGCTCCCGGAACTCCTGCTACGAAGAAGATAATTGCCAAGAACCAGATCCTCACACCTAAACAATAATAAATACAGTAAACACAACATGATCCTAACATTATATATTCGAAGGAAAACAATAAATAAGGAAGTGCATTTCCAAACTAACCTTCTCCTCTTATCCATCCTGCAGTGACAGCAACGATGTTCCATAGAAGGCACAGAAACAATCCTGCATAAAATCACCATACTGCATGTAATCAAATGACTTACACAAAAAGCCTTTTCCAGCTAAAGAGTTAAACAAAATAAAAGCATAGTACAAATAATCACCCAATGCAATCATTCAGAGGTTATAAACTCATATGAACGATCACAAATTTTCATTTTTGTCAACAAGATTGAACATTGAGTGATGCATAGATGGACCAGGCAATATAACAAAAGGTAAATAAGCCTTCAGAAAACTTTGCATACCTAAAAATGTTGAAAATGCGACATACTGCACTCTTTGTAGATGAACCGGTATGTCATTTGCAATATCATGATGAATGATTGGGAAAAATGGTGGCCAATTTTTCTCTTCCAAAACAATTCCAGCTGCAAAACAGAGAAGTCAAACTCTAGCTAATGGGAGAAATGCAAGAGTAATTGACCATAAATAGAAAATGGAATCAGGTCAAAATATTTTGCAAAAGAAATGATATCAACAACAAAATTTGAAACAATGAGAAAAGCTAAATGTTTTTGATGTAAATAATCAAATTAGAATGAAAGGTACCTCTTGCTGCTGCCTCTTCTTTCCGCCTCACTTCCTGCATGGAATAAGATGATCAGCGAAAATTGTAGGGATCCAATAATTCATTGGGTGCCAAAGGGAAGGAAACGAATTCAGCTCTTTCTATTTATTTATGGAACAATCATGCATGAACAGAAACTTGCATCTTCAAACCATCCCTCTAACTTAGCACACTAAATACAACGACATACACATTTTCGATTTATTTATGAAACAAACAAGTATGAATGATGAGTCTTACAGCTATCCAAAAAAACATAGGGCACTAAAATACAAGGAGAGAACACATAAGATATCCCATCAGCAGCCTAATTGTGTCTTAATAATAATTTGTAGGCTTAATTCATGATTGCTCCCTCAAAGTATAAAATTTTTCTCATTTGGCACCCTAATCTATTTTTTTCTAAGTTTGCCCCCTTAAACTATCATTTTCGTATCATTTCACCCTGAAAATTATTGGCGTCACATGCCACATGTCACATTCTTATTAGCCGTTTTTTTTGGGGTAAGCTGAGATGAAAATGACAGTTTAGGGGCAAGCTGAGAAAAAGTGTTGCTTTGAGGGGAAATGGTGAATTAAGCCTAATTTGTAAGACAAACTGTTTAGATATATTTGGCCTTTCATTACATTTGATTCTAAATGTTTGATAAAATATGATAGGGAGCAAATTTGAAACAAAAATAAAATCTATGATCTATAAAATAAGAATGAGTTCAAAGTTATAAAATTTCTTTCCGCAATATACCTGCTCCCGCCTTTTCAGTTCAGCCTCCTTAGCTTGTAGTTCCTTCTCCTTCTTCTTCAAATCCTAGATTTATGCCGTAAAACCATAACAGTGAGATTAAACGCTTAACCAAACTATGGAAATAGCATTTAGAGACAGGTTTTCAGTCTTCAATAACCTGATATGATCCTCCTGAAGTTGTATCCAGAGGAATGTCAATTGTCGCATCACGATCATAATTGAAACCAGCAGGTTCTGGAGGTAGTGGTGAAAGTCTCGAGTTTGACGCAGGTGGAGCACTTGGAACATTCTGAAAAATTATTCGTAACACATATTCGAGAAGCAAGTATTAGTATAAGAAAACTTTCCGGAGTACCTATGTTTAGAAGAAATGCTCAAAGGCCGAATTTGACATAACCAAATCACAAAAATATATCAAATAACCTATCTTTTCTGAACGAAATCATCCTAAACCTTAACATATCCAAGCTAACTCCTAACCCTATTAGCATTAGAGAAAGAACTAAGTTTCTAGGTTGATCACTATGATTCAATGTGCTCAAGGGATTAAACAGTGGTAGTTTAGCACAACATCACCTCAAGTTATGGTTTTACATATCATCGGTGACCAAGTATCCATGTATTGACAAAGAGCCTAAAACCCGGCCTTTCAAATTCAAAGAACTCTCCAATCTCCATGGATATAAAAGAGACAAAACAACCAAAACCTTACGCTAAATTTCACATTTTATGCACATTCTAGTCAATATATGTCCTAAAAACAGTTCTCGTCTTAACCTCGGCAACAAGTTTTGAATTAAACATTCCCTTGAAACTTTATAAACAGGGGTTTAGTTTACCTTTGAAAATAGACCACCAAATTTAGACTGACCAGATGCCTTCCCTCTCACGGCGGGATCCTGCAGGCACAAATTATTTAAACCAAAGAGTAATATTAGAACTGAAGTTGCCTAGCATCTGTATACTAACTTATACATGCGAATCAAGTTCTAAAACCAAGTAAAATTATGCATCATAGTCTTCATTTCAAGGATTAAGGTTCATCAAAGTGCAAAAGAAAATGTTTTTTAGCTCTGGGAAAATGCTTATTTTTAAAACAAAATCGATTTGAAGAACTGAACAAGCTTAATATTGATTTCTACTTTATTTAATGCGATTTCAGTAACAAAGAAAACATAAAAGTCGTTGAAATGATCACATCAACTACAACAACCAAGCAAAACACTTCCCATAAATGAATTCAGCCCAAATTTCAGATCAGTGAGTAAAATTAATGTCAACGTATAATCTTTTAATAAATTTTTCATCAGACGCCTAACAGCTTCGAAAATAGAGTCTTAAATAAAACGAAGACACGAGAGCTCGCTACCAAAGCATCATCCAACAACAGGAAGAGAAACTGACCGAGAAAGGGTTAACTTCGTCTTCTTCTTGAGCGAATGGGTTTTCGTCGTAACGACCAGCCATGGGTTAGGATTTTTTTTCTGCAAAAACCTTTTTTTAAAAAGGAAATTGAAAATGGGATAAATATATATGATGAAGATCTAAACTAGAGAGAAGAAAAAGGAAGAAGCTTTTATAAGAAGCTAAATGAAAGCTCAAAGTCAAGAATTTTATCCCTTCGAATAAGTTTTGTGTTCTTACAGAAATAAGAGCGAAGTTTTCTAGAGAGATAAAACGCGGGTTCGCGGTTGAGGAGATAGAGAGGGAAGGAGAAGTTGGACTTTTCGGTTGCAATTTTTGTTGGGAATATAACGTAGGATGAAACAGCGGGAAAATTATGTTACTTTGGTATAATAACAAATATAGCCCTCAATATTTATATTATTATTAATTTGGACATACTTTTAAGCTAAATTTAGTCTCAACAATTTTTATTTAAATTATTCTTATTTTAAAAAATATGATTATATCGTTAAAAATTTAGACATTGTTAATAAGGCTGCCGTCCCGTGTGGTAGTTGCGTGTATTCATTTTATTCATATGGAAAAATGAACAAAGTATTTAATGAATTACCAGTAAATTATTTACATATTATTCTTTATACTTAATTTAAAACATGCATAAATCTATAATTTAGTAGTATTCTAAAAAGTACAATATCAATTAAATTTTAAAAAATATATTTTAAATATTTGAATTTAAAAGTAATTTAATTTCAAATGTGTTTTAAATATTTTAAAATAATTCATAATGTTTAATGAATTTTATTTAAGATAAAAATGATGAAATGTTTAAGTTTTAGAGATTAAAAAAGCTATTATACTATGACACATTAGACATCCGAAGAGACTTATTTATAACTTTTAGAAAAGGAACATATTTTGTAGTAAACACATAATTAAATGACTTTTTGGTGGAGTTTACCCATTTTCTTATGAGTTGTACTAAACACTTATTTAATTCGGATTTTTGTCACACGACGGAATAAAAAATTGAACTTAATTTTCTTTAATAACTTTCGTATAATTTCGTAGATTCTATATCGTACCCGTTTCAATTGGAGAGGGGATGGGTATAATTTTAGTGGGTAATAGATGAGTGTGGATTTAGAAAGTGATACCCGGGTAGCAGGTGGGTGATGGGTTTGAGATCTTACCCGTCCTTATCCGCCTGCCCCACATTCCTCTGCCCACTAAATACCCATTAAATTTTGGACCATTATGAATTTAAGTATAATTTTATAAACTAATTTATAAATATTAATATTGTATAAGATATAAATTATAATTTAACCAAATATTAGGTATACTTTTAGAGACTAATATTATGGTTCTTAATAGACGTGTTTGTTTTATGTTTGTTGTTTATTTATAACTTAAGGTTGTTGTCATGTGGGTCTAGTCGGGTACATCTCCATTTGGTAGTGGATGTGGGGATGGATTTGAGAATGTATCCGCTTGAACGGGTGTGTATTTGAAAAATTTTACCCCTCATGGGTGGTGGACAAGTAGTAGATTTGAAAATATTAAATGTGTATGAGGATAGAGGAAGGGGTATTCGCACCCGACCCGCCCGTTTGTCATCCCTACTTCTGCTTCCAACGAAAATCATATATTTATAAAATTCATATTAAAAATAAATATTTCACTGTTTTAAACATCTAGAAGATTCCGTGGCTATACATATACATTAGACCAATGAAGTTGAAAAGTTCAAAATGAATGAACTAATTCAATAATTTAGGAATTGAATAATTGATTTGATAAAAAAATAATTTAATTATTTAATTTCAGGAATTGAAATAAGGCAGATTTGCACATTGAAAAAAAAATAAAAATGGGTTCGCGAATTTATTTAGGGATTTAGAATACATTATTACATCTTAAAGTCGTGATATAATTATGACGTTTATTTTTTAAGTTATTTTTTTTGAATGAATTTTTAAAATTACCGAAATTAAATAAAAAAATAGAGTCGAGATTCGTAGTATTTTTTATGTTAATTCTTTATTTTCATTCCAATTATGATTTTTCTATTTTTTACTCCAAATAAATCCTTACTAACTTCGTTTCATTAAAAATGTATATATAACAAATTTGAAATACACTGTAAAATGTATCTCACATCTCTAAATAAATCCGTACTAACTTCATTTCATTAATATTTTTCTGGTTTTACCTAGGGATGGGTATAGGTCGGGTTTGAGTCAACTCGACTCGACTCAAAAATTTTACTTCCTTCATCCGATCCGATCCTACCTCGAAAAATATATATCCTTCACCCAATTCGATTTTTGAGATAAAATCTAAACTCGATCCGACTCAACCTGAAATAATAAAAAATATTATTTTTATTCAATAAAAACGGTTATTTAATTGAAAAAATATATATAGGTAATTATTATTGTAATTATTCTTAAATATATAAGATAAAATTATATATTTTTAAGTCGAATCGGGTCGTATATTTTTTACCATAAAACCGAATCTGACCCAACCTGACTCAAACCCAAAATTTAAAATAAAAAATCTAACCCGATCGAATCGAATCAGTTTGAAACCCGTTGGGTTAAGGTCCCATCCCTAGTTTTACATTGTAGAACATTTTAACATTTTAGAAGAAAAAAAATAGAGAAAACGTTTGGCGCAAGCTCACGAAGATTAGTACTGTTGATCATTTTTGCTTTTAGATATATAAAATTGGAAGGGATGTGATACTGATAGTACAATTTAATTAACAAAAACGCGTTTAACCTTTTATTTTTAATTATTAAATTTAAAATTTTGAGAATAACGTTTAAATAATTAAAGGGTCAAGTATAGTCATGGTCACTGAACTTTTCTAAAATTTTCATTTAGGTCCTCTAACTTTTAAAACTTGCAATACAATCCTCCAACATTTAGTTCGTTTGCAATGTAGTCCCCGACATTACACTGTCGTTAGTACATTTGTAATATGGTCACTGAACTTTTCAGGCACTTGCATTTAGGGCCTCCAACTTTTAAAACTTACAACACAATCCTTAATTTCATTCTAAACCCCAAATTCCTTTGCGATCTCAAATTTCCTTTTTCGCTTCTCTCTGCTCATTTCAAGAGTAACTTTTCAGTCGGAGATGCATAGGAAATTCTAATCTAACTTTGAATTATGTGAGGTGTTGACTTGAATAAGGGTCAATTGAGAGAAGACCCGACTAAGGGATTATCAGGACCATCAACGATTCAAGGTGTAATGTTAGATACAAGTCATCTCAGGTGAAACATAGATGTTCGATGAAATGCTTGTGAGTAAAAAATAGGGTTAGAAATGCAGAGTTGACAAATACTACTAAGATGAACTAAGTATCATTGTTGAAAGTCACCAACAAAGTTGGAATTATTTTGTATAAATGACATATAATAATTTCTTCGTTTAATCCTTGTGGTTAAAGATTTTCCAATAGATGATCAAATATAACGAAATACCAAACAGCGCATTCACCTCTCAGTCTCTTTCGTAACTCGAAAGGCATTATGACAGGGTCAAGTAGCTGCTCCAAATATATTACATGTCATGATGACTTTCGAGTTGCGTGCATACATAATTGTCTTCTAAAGTTATAATTCAATACAATAAAACTGTAAAATTTCCAAAACATGTAAAAAATCCAATTTGTTCACGATATATCAATCCCATAATCAACATGAACTTATTAAAAATAATATGAGCTCACAGGATGCCGAAAACCACAGATAGGATCAATACAATTCCCAGTAAACTAGTACCAGCATTATCTCGGATTGAGTCTGGCGATTTCACTATGTCGATACTCACAATCAATTCCCTGATTTAAAGAAAAATCAAACAATAAGATAAAAAAAGTTAGCCTAGGACCATCTTTCACTTCTATTCTGATGAATTGAATATTTTTCATAAAGAGTATTAAAAGTTTTGATTAAGAAGAAAGAACGAAAATTAGATGGTTTTGGTTCAAAACTAACACTGAATATACATATCATTGACATGCAGTTCCAGAAACATAAAAATTTCAACAAAAAACAAAAAATGTGAGCTGAAAATGGGAAAGTACGAAAGAGGAAAAGCTTACTTTCGGATAGCCCAAAAGGAGAAAATAAATACCTTCTTGCAAGTGAGGGGGAAAGGCTAAGAAATAAACGCAATCGGTGTTGCGTTCCAACAATTATTCCTCCATTTTTTCTTTGTAAAAAAAGCTGAAAGACAGAGCACTGCTTGGGTTTACGATTTTACATGGCGGAAAATTAAAGAACAAAAACCAAACGAGAGTGCATGTGAGAGAAAGAGACTAAGAGGTGAATGCGCTGTTTATGATTTCATTTATTTGATCATCTTTTGGAAAATCTTTAACCACAAGGATTAAACGAAGAAATTATTATATGTCATTTATACAAAATAATTCCAGCTTTGTTGGTGACTTTCAACAAAGATACTTAGTTCATCTTAGTAGTATTTGTCAACTCTGTATTTCTAATCCCATTTTTTTTCTCACAAGCATTTCATCGAACATCTATGATTCACCTGAGATGACATGTATCTAACATTACACCTTGAATCGTTGATAGTCCTGATAGTCCATTGGTTTGGTCTTCTCTCAATGGACCCTTATTCAAGTCAACACCTCCACATAATTCAAAGTTAGATTAGAATTTCTCATCCCCGACTGAAAAGTTATGCTGGAAATGAGAAGAGAGAAGCGAAAAATAAAATTCGAGATCGAAAAGGAATTTTGAGATCGAAAAGGAATTTGGGGTTTAAAATGAAATTTAGGATTGTGTTGCAAGTTTTAAAAGTTAGGGGACCTAAATGCAAGTGCTTGAAAAGTTTAGTGACCATATTGCAAATGTACTAAATGTAGTATAACATCGGGGACCATATTGCAAATGACCTAAATGTTGGAGGATTGTATTGTATGTTTTAAAAGTTGGGGACATAAATGAAAGTTTTAAAAAAGCTCAGTGACCATTACTATACTTTACCCATAATTAAATGATATTTATAAGTTGAGTAGCTTAATTTTTTACAGTCGAGATCGAATAACCGAGGTTTCACACAGAAAGTGATCTAAGCAAGTAGCCATGAATGAAGATGATGAGTTTGCTTCATTATCGTGTTGTTTCCACGGCGACTCCTCTTGCAGCATTACGTTTTCCCTCTGCCGCCTTACCAGCGCCACGGAAATACCTGTAAACTCTCTGTAAAAAAAAGGTAATTCTTAGAAATCCCCCACGAAATCAAATCAAGCGATC